TGCCAATTCAATAGTTAATGTGATGCAAAATTTTATCAGCAATAGCTCAATTTTTTTTCTTCCGTAATATTTCACATTTGCAAATAGACCTACAGCAATTGGAGTCTGGTGGCAATTTACTAGTGACATGCCACTATCAACAACAGACAACTTTTTAAGTATTTCTCGACATATTGACGTAAATGGGTCAGTTGTAAGTTAGAGTTCAATGGAGAGAAAATAGAGAGCATTAACTATTCTCCAAAGAAGAGGCAGTTATGCCATGAATGATCCATTAGGATTTAATTGAATTAGACAAAATATCACCCCCACCCCTTCTTGATAACAACGGGCCGCGACGTCATTACCTGAATGAGTTAGAAGATGAGGAATAAACTAGGCAGTTTCTACAACGTGAAGGGAGTGGGGGTTAAAACTGAGGAAGAATTATGAGAAGGACTTGAAAGAAAGTGACAAGTACTGATGGGGAATAATCTGGAATATGAGGATGGTTGGGGGATTTTGAGTCCTTTACCTATTGATCTGTGGCTAATAGTCATGAAGAAATGAGACAATGGAAGGACAATTAACACGAAGACCGCTCAATCCTATGCATTAGAGTGCGCATATGCAGTTGTTGTCTTTAAAAGGTGATTCATCGAAGTAATCCTCTTTTTGATAATAAGTTGGAATGGAACTCACTTCCCAGCGGAGAGCCTAAGGAAGAGATCACAATGCTAATTTATGATAAAGGGCACGTTCGATTTTCAAAGTTGACGATTGTTCTGGCTACTACTTGTCAAGAGATGTGAAAGTATGAGGTGACTCAGCATTGTTTAAGGCAGTTGAGATACGATCCTTCGAAGATCTATCAATAATAACACATTCAGATTACCTTAAGAGCCCAATTCTTCTGGAGGTTAATTTTTAAGAAAATTAATTGAACTGCGTTTTAGAAACATGAATTTGCTACCCTCATGATTCCATAGCCACGTTTTACAGAAATCAGAAAAGGCTAACCAATCAGAAAAGGCAGGTCTAAATACGCAGCACTTCATCCCTCTCATCTTCATTTAGACCTAGCGTTTGACGAAAGTTATGACTTATAGCTTTCAAGTCTACTTGAGCTCACATTTCTTCATTTTGTTTAACAATATTTTCCATTTGATCTTTTGGCCACTCATAAATCGATAATTAAAGCCCGTTCCAATTAACTAGCACTTAGAAGGCATTTAATTATATTTATTATTTATTTCAAATGACAGGCGTTTTAATAGCTATCATAAGCCCTTTAATTGACTTCGGGCTTCACAGAGGGAAGGTTCATCAAAGTAGCAGAAAGTCGAGGGGTAGGGAACAGAAGAGCGATTCACGTATGTAAAAGAGGCAGACAGACACAAAGGCAGAGAAAAAGGTAAGATGAGTACTGTGGAAGCGGTCGAATATGACAAGCAGTCGTGCCATGGTATTTTGAAGTCAGAATTCAACTGCCGGTTAATCGACTTTTTTGCCGTATGAGTATACGTTGCCCAGGGTGCACCACATGGAGGTAAGTCTATCGCACACCCCGCCTTGAATTATATAGAAACAGAAATAAACAGCATTGGATACAAAAATGTAGAGCAGTCAGTCCCTTCCGAAATACACTATTGTTAACTCTTTTGCCAAAAATTTTGTTTAATTTAGATTTTCGTTGTACTTGGAGTGCATCAACTTTGTTTGATGTTAATAAGTTGATAAAAAAGCAGCCAGATAATCTGGAAACATTTCCAACGAGTTTAATCTCATTTTACTTGACAATAACCATTTACCAAAACCATAATTATCCAAAAAATGGTTGTCATGACAATTAAATAATATTTGACAATTATGTGAAAACAGTTCAGAAAAACTGCTCCATCTACCCTAAATTGGCGGCTTCGAGAAATGATGCATTTGACGATGTAAAATGCTCGAACAAAGCTAGGTGAATTTTCATTCTTTTTGTGTCAACGGCCATGCAAAATAGCCACTTAAACAACTACGATCTTGAGTACAATAAAACAGGAAATCTCATTTTTCTTTATTTTCATGAAAACTGATATTTGCATCGGTATATTTCGTAATGGGGGTGTGCGATAGACTTACCTCCACGTGGTGCACCCTAGGCAACGTATACTCATACGGCAAAAAAGTCTATTAACCGGCATTTCACTTCTGACTTCAAACTACCATGACCCCACTGTATGTCATATTCGACCCCTTCTACAGTACTCACCTTACCTTTTTCCCTGCCATTGTGCCTGTCTGTCGCTTTTTCATCTGTGAATCACTCTACTGTTCCTTCTCTCGTCTTTGTGACTTTGATGTTCCTCCTCCTCTTTGGGAAGCCCAAAGTCAGCTAAATGGCTAATGATATCTATCAAAACGCCTACCATTTAAAATAAAATTATTTCAAAATGGCCTTCCTTGCTAAGTTCCAAATTGGGCAAAATCCTTATATATTTCTTCTTGGATCAAAGTTCTTGATTCTGTTTGGTTTTATAACACTCTGCAGTGGTTTGATTAGTTCATGTTTTATCAATAACTGAATGAAAATTTTACCCACGGTTCCGAAACTACAAACAATTTATGATTATTTGCCTGGTAGATACTATTTTTTTCCTAATTCAACTGCCTATCTTAGACCCGGTGTCACCCATGGTCTGCGATCAAATGGCCTGAAATCTACGAACCATCGGAACCTCCATGCTGTTCATTTGTTGAATAGGACTATTCTGACTGGTCTTCTGACCTAAATAGTGCAGTTTGTGGGAAATAAACACTTCTTTGATTCTGCTAAGTAAGCATTGTCAGTCAGCACACAACCCAACTGACAAGACACGACCGATAAACACCCCCTCTCTCCCTCCCCAACTTAACATCACTTGAATAAACGTATTTATTTATTTATACCAAATGGCAGGCATCTTGATAGGTATCATTAGCCCTTTGGTTGACTTCAGGCTTCACAGAGGGGAAGGAACATCAAAGTGAAAAAAGTTAAGATGAGGGGGGGGGGAGCAGAAGAGTGTTTCAAAGGTGAAAAAGAGGCAGACACAAAGGTAAAAAAAGGTGACGTGAGTATTGTGGAAGTATTCGAATATGACATACGGTGGGGTCACAATAATAGAGAGTAGGGTAAGGTGAATACTGTAGAAGTGGTCAACTATGACACACAGTGGTGAGTACTGTGAAAATGATCGAATATGACATGGAGTCAGCGAGTACTGTGGAAGTAGTCGAATATGACATACAGTGGGGCGAGTGCTGTTGAAGGGGTTGAATATGACAAGCAGTCGGGCTGATTGGTAGTTTGAAGTGAGAAGTCAACTGCCGGTTGATAGACGTAGTTTGAAGTCAGAAGTCAACTGCCGGTTGATAGACTTGTTAGTTTGAAGTGAGAAGTCAACTGCCAGTTAATAGACTTGTACCGTTAAAGTAATAGAGTGGGGTGATGGTAGTTTGAAGTCAGAAGTCAACTGCCGATCAATAGACTTTTTGCAAGTCAGAAGTCAACTGCCGATCAATAGACTTTTTTGTCTTTGAAGTCAGAAGTCAACTACCGTACAGTGGGGTCATGGTAGTTTGAAGTGAGAAGTCAACTGTAGGTGAGGTGAGTACTGTGGAAGTAGTCGAATATGACACAGTAAGGTAAGATGATTACTGTGAAAGGGGTCGAATATGACATAAGTGAGGTGATGGTAGTTTGAAGTGAGAAGTCAACTGCCTTAGTCGAATATGACATACAGTGGGGTCAGAGTCAACTGAAGGTAGAAAAAAGGCGAGGTGAGTACTGTGGAAGTGGTGAAATATGACATACAGTGGGGTGATGGTAGTTTGAAGTCAGAGGTATATGACATACAGTGGGGTGATGGTAGTTTGAAGTGAGAAATAGGTAGAAAAAAGGTGAGGTTAGTACTGTGGAAGAAGTCGACAGTAGAGCAAAGGTGAGGTGAGTACTGTGGAAGGGGTCGAATTTGACATACAGTGGGGTGATGGTAGTTTGAAGTGAGAAGTCGAAGAGAAAAGGTAAGATGAGTACTGTTGAAGTGGTCGAATTTAAGAAAAAAGGTGAGGTGAGTACTGTGAAATGGTCGAATATGGACAAAGGTGAGGTGAGTACTGTAAAAATAGTCGAATATGATATAGAGTGGGGTGATGGTAGTTTGAAGTCAGAAGTCAACTGCCGATCAATAGACTTTTTGCAAGTCAGAAGTCAACTGCCGATCAATAGACTTTTTTGTCTTTGAAGCTAGTAGTCGAATTTGACATACAGTGGGGTGATTGTAGTTTGAAGTCATGTCAAATGCCGGTTAATAGACTTTTTTGCCGTATGAGAATGTAGGACATATAGGGGGGTCATGGTAGTTTGAAGTGAGAAGAAAACTGCCGGTTAATAGACTTTTTTGCCGTATGCGGAGAAGTCAACTACCAGTTAATAGACTTTGCCGTTGAAGTCAGAAGTCAACTGCCGGTTAATAGAATTTTTTTGCCGATAGTGAGAAGTCAACTGCCGGTTTATAGACTTTTTTGCCGCACAGTGGAAGTGGTCGAATATGCCATACAGTGAGGTCACGGTAGCTTGAAGTCAGAAGTCAACTGCCGATTAATAGACTTTTTTGCCACATGCAGTCAGAAGTCAACTGCCGGTTTATAGACTTTTTTGCCGTTTGAGTAGTCAGAAGTC